ATGCCTTGCTTGGTTAAGAAGAATGCAGTGAACACTAGACATCCAAATGCCAAATGTAGGAAAGGAATCACTATGAAGAGTAGTCTAACCTCGTGCTCCAAGTGAGCAGGTGTCAGGACCCCACTGAGAAAATTGCCCACAGCAGAAGAACCACCACACTCATAACTTAGGGGCTGGGTTTTTTAATAGTTCCTACACTTCACTAGCCACACAAAGGACTTGCCTCAAGTATAAAATCATGTAGTTAGCATCCCTTGATGACAGGTCCATGTTTCTGGTCCAAGCCTTATCTGGGCAACCAGTGGTTCACAACTGGCCACAACTGTAAGATGCCAGAATACAATAGCCTCAATTACCAACTCCCCTTTGTCCTTAAAAGCAAAAGCATTTTCCAATTTTCTTTCTCTGCATGGCTCCTGATGGGTGGCTAGTAAGATAAGTGAGCCCTTCGGACTTCAGCAAGCTCCAAATCAAAAAGGGAAGAAAGAGCTCAATTTCTAAGCCACTTACTGAGATCCCCCAACACTTGGGTTTTAAAAGCTGGGTGGTTTGAATGGGAACGACCCCCATAAGCGCATAGATTTAAAGGCTTGGTCATTTGGGAGTGGCAATACTTGACAGGGATTAGGAAGAGTGGCCTTGTTGAAGGAAGTGTGTCATTGGGGGTAGGCTTTGGTGTTCCAAATTCTAAAACCAGGCCCAGTGTTTCTCTCTCTCTTCCTGCTGCCTGCCAATCCATATATAGAACTCTCATGTCTACCTGTATGCCGTCATGCTTCCCATCATGATAATAATGGACTAAACCTCTGAAACTGTAAGCCAGCCCCAGTTGAATGTTTTCTTTATAAGAGTTGCTGTGGTGGCCATGGTGTCTCTTCACAGCAATAGAGCACTGGCTAAAACAAAGCCTTTTATCAAGTGTGTCCATGTGCTTAGCACGGGCAGATTGGTAAGCCCAGGATTAGAAAGAGGTTCAGAGCCCTACAGCAAAGCACACCACACAGGGATTCCAATCTGCTTCTCAAAATGGTAACAGTCTCCCTCCTGTTGCAAAATACACCCAGTGCATTAAGTATTTTTAGATATTTTGTACAGTAAAGGAATTATATTTTACTAATATTAGACCTTCAGCATTCTGATTGTAAAGACAGAAACGTGGTAAAGAAATAAACAACAACAGCTTTATATAGGGCAGATTTTGATGAGTGCGTGTGTCTGCATGTGCATGCACGAATGTGTGCCAGGCCTTCAGAAGTCAATAGAGACATCATATCTTCCAAGGTTGCAATTACAGGTGACTGTGAGCCATGAGATGCAGGTGCTGGGAACCAAACTTCAGTTTCCTGCAAGAGCAAGTGATCTGGCAGCTGAATCACCCCTCCAGCCCTATATGGAGGTTCTGAAATTGGTCCAGATCCCATGCAGAGTTCTGCTGGCCTGGCTGACATTCAGCATAGCACAGCCTGTCTCCTACACTTTCTTACATCTGTCAAAAACAACATTTAGTCATCAACAGACTCTATTAAAAGTGTTCTAGCTATATAAAAATAATAAGTAATTAGCATAGAGTTCCCACACCCCCCATCAACATGTGAAGTTTTTTTTTTGAGTTTTTGTGTTTTGTTTTTTCTATTATTAACTTTTCACATTACTGTGGTACGTTCCTTTAATTATAGACTCAGCATTAGATCCATTCTATTTACTAAAGCTCGTGTTTCCATTCATATTCCATTTTTGTGTCATATAGCTTTTGTGATTCACCAGTTTTACAACTCTAAAATCCCATGTTTCACTCAACTTACTTACCTTTTACCCTCCAAACTTTGGTCATTCACTAACCTTCTGCCTTTTCCAAAATGCCAGAGTATTTGAGTCAAACACTGTGTACCTTTTGAGACTGGTTTCATTGACCAAGTAATAAGCACTTAGCAGTTAAAAGTCCTTCTGGTATGTCAGGGAAGCTTAGCTCAAGTCCCTTTATTGCTGAGGAATATTCCATTGTATGATATTTGTTTGCTTGGTTTCTATTGAAACACATTTGGGTTTCTTCCAGTTTTGAATGACAATGAATGAAGCTGCTGTGAACATTTGGATACTCAGAGTTTTCACCTGATTCAGTGAGCAGTAAGCAAGGTGATTGCTGAGTTGTTTATTAAAAGGTATGTTTGGTTTTGAGGGATACATTTTCATGTTTTCTCTCACATGTGCAATCTAAATTTAAAGATATGTGTGTATACATCTATTTATATATGGTATACACATATATGTACACATGCATATATATATATATATATGAGAGAAAGAGAGAGAGAGAAAGAGAGAGAGAGAGAGAGAGAGAGAGAGAGAGAGAGAGAGAGAGAGAGAAGGAGGCCATGTAGAAAGAGAAGAGGATCTAAAGTTGATGGGAGAAAGATAACATGAGGGGATGATGGCAAAAGAAAATCAGATACTTCAGCTTGCTGTCATGTGGGGTATCTAGATTTAAATGAATATATAAAATCTAAATTTAAACATGAAAGTGGAAAGATGGCTGAGTGAAGCAAGGAGACCAATGGGAGACAGGGACAAGAGAAGATAACTCATGCCAGTATGACTCTAGAGCAAGCACACATGCTCAGCCCAGTATCATAATGAAGCCCTCGCTGTGTGTACTAACTGAAAGGATTCATTATAAAAGCCAGTCCTGGTGGGGCAGGCTTGCAATCCCAGGTAAAGGCAGGAAGATGGAAATGTCAAGCCTTATCTGGGCTACAGAGTAGGTTTAAGGCTAGCTTGGTCGACATAGTGAAACCAATGACCCTAAAAATTCCAAGAGCACTAGTGATATAGATCAGTGGAACACTGCTACCTTAGTGTGCTGAAGATCCTCTGTTCATGCCAGCACACACACACACACACACACACACACACACACATACACACACACACAACACTTTAAGAAGACTATTTTGGGCTGGGCTGTAGCTCAGGTGGTACAGTGATTACTTAACATTCACAAAGCCTTGGTCTCAGTTCCCACAATGCATGAACTAGTCATGGTGGTACCCATCTTTAATCCCAGCACATGAGAAGTGAAGAAACGAACATCAAAAGCTCAAGGTTGTACTTGACCACATAGAAAGAAGGAGGCCATCCTATACTCTAGACATCATCTCAGTGACTATATTTACTCAGACACTTAACTGTAGCACACAAAACAGCAAAAACCAAAAGACCTCAGTGGACAGCATTTTGCCACAGTCTGTGGATGGGCACGTCCTTCAAACTGCAACTAGACTTTCTTTCTACACTCAAGAAAAAACTTTTTGAAACAGCGTCATACTGTATAGCTCTGGCTGGCTGCAATTTGCTATGTAGGTCAGCCTGACCTTGAATTCATAGAGATCCACCTGCCTCTGCCTCCCAAGTGCTCTGATTAAAGGCGTGTGTCATCATGCCTGGCTGGAGGGAGCATCTAGATGCAATACAGAGATGTAGGTGGATAACTCAACTCAAAGTGAAAGGCACTGCCACCAGTTTTTTCCCAGTGCTCATGGAATAAGAGCCTATTCACTCATGGGACCACCTGAACCTCAATTCCAAGCCTCACCCCTCTCCCTTGAGCTCTCTCTGCTTTTGTCTTTCCTCTGAACAGCTGTCTACTTTTACCCAAATGTAGATTTGCATTTACTTCTGGTCTTCCTGCTCCTTCTCTCAAAACCCACTCTCCCTCTTCCCTGAAGCTCATTCAATGCACCATCAGAGTCCGCTCCTTTGGGCAGCTCTTGCTACAGGTCAGCAGCTCCCCGATCCCTACCCCCAGTCTCAGTACTGGAGGTCTGGCAGCAGCTCCCCACCCCTGCCCCCAGTCTCAGTACTGGAGGTCCAGCTACATGCAACTACCTCTCTACCTCTCCACCTCTCCAGCTAAACAGGCTGTACCCTGGCAGCAATCCTATCCCAATCCACAGCACCTAAACCACAGCAAAGAGGAGGCTCCACAATGTGCAAGGAATAGCTGAGAAAACAGGTAGACATCTAAATGACTTTCTCCCTCGACAGCAGCTCAGACTCTAAAAATAATGGACACTGGCTTGCCTTGGCAGTACAGAAAGGGAAGCTTAGTCTAGGGAAACCAAAGGGAGAGGCCCAGGTAAGACTGTGAAGAAGATCTCAGAACCTTGACATCCATGGGTTACTATATGAGCAAAACATCTTCAAGGTAAAATAAGTGAATGAATGAATGATACCCAGACAAAGCATTAAAAGACAAAAAAATAAATAAATGAAACCTCCAAAAATTCATTTTGTGGTCAACATCCACTACTGGGCACGGGGCCTATCCTCTAGTGTGGTTTATATACTTAGTGTGACTTTGTTTGAGAAAGCTAATTTTTCCTTTTCAGGTGGTTATCAACTGCAGACATCTTTGGGTCAGAAATCTGAGGTGTTAGCTGGCCTGGTTTTTCTGAAAGCTCCAGGAACGGATCCATCTTCCTTCTTCAACTTTCAGTAGCTGCCTGTGTCCTTCACCTCCACCTCACAGGACATTATTCCAAACCCCGTTTCCATTGTCTATCACCTACTGTCTCCATCCTGTCTCCCACCTAAAAAGACTTCAATGATCAGATCAAACCCACCTGATCATCCAGGAAAAATTCCTTGTCTTTTACATACAAATATCACGTTTACAAGTTCAGGTGATTTGGTTGTGGACATACAGGGAGGGAAGCCGTTACTGCTTTACATTACTGGGTTCATGTAGATTTGAAACCCGACTCTGTTCAGAGTCTTCTACAGGAGAGAGACTACTAAGAAGTGTAAATAGAACTTTTAAATATGGATAAGATTGTATCTCTGCCTACAGAAATACTTATAGCACTGACGTTTGCCCAAGCCAGACATGAGATGAATAAGATATGCAGTAAATACAGAATAAATCAGATGAGGGTTCTTAACACGTAAGGGTTATATCCAACTCTGTCCCTGTGGTGGCACAGCTATACTAGAAGGACATTGTACCTGCCCCTAGGCTTGCTGGTGTGGCTACTGTGTCACATGTGTGTCAGTAGGTGGCAGAGAGGAGAAAGGCTATGCCTATGCTGTGTTCTGACCTATGAATATCAGAATGATTAGTAGCCTAACATCCCCTCACTGGCTACAACACTCAGGAGAGCTGGCCCTGAACCTTGCCTGGGCAGAAGGATAGAGCTGGTCCTGGCAGAGTCAAGAGTATATTGTACCTAGAGAATTGGCCTGAGGGCATGAGAGTGGGAGAGCAGGGAGACTGGCCAGCTCAGATACCTCTCAGGTCTAGATCCATGGCCAACCCCAACATCTACCCCATCAATGTACTGCTGGAGTGCATGAAGGGGCTGGTCCTACAGATCAAAAAGTATAGGATTGCCATGACATGGGGCAGCAACAGGATATCTGACAGGAGCCCTGGTGCTAACATCAATAGAGTAGCAGGAGCCTGAGACCTCATTCCGGACCAGCGACTCATTAAAGTGAGCCTTTGTAAGCAAAGAAAGTATGGACAAAAGGGTACACTGTGGGATACACTGAGATGCAAGACAGTTTCCGCAGTGAGATTTATTTCTCTGTTGGAGGGACAGGTTTCAAGGTTGGAGGGTGGGTATGAGGAGAGGGAGAAATGAGTGGGATTGGGGTGCATGATGTGAAAATCGCAGAGAACCAATAAAAAGTTGGGTGGTGGTTGTTGTTGTTGTTGCTGCTGCTGCTGCTGCTTAAAAAAAGGGGCGGGGGCTTGCAATATTGATCACAGACACCCACTTTGGCTGAACATGGGGACATTATCTTATGCTCTCAGTCTTCCCTCTAGGACAGTTCTGTGTTAGGTGCTTGGGACTCACAATAAGAGTAGTGTGAAGACTGGCAGAGCCCAGGCTGCCTTTTGTTCTTAAAGAGCTCAACAGAGGTCCAACTAATGAAGAGGAAGAGTGTGTGCTGGGGGCAGGGCAATCACCAAGGACCAGGAAGTCTGACTCACCACCAGCCCCTATACCAGAGAGATCTTTGCTAATCCCAAATGCAGAGGAGGTTAGCCCAGCTTTGGTGGAGAGAAGCCAGGCCTGAAAAGGCTAGAAGGAGCCTGATGTCTTACAAGCAGAGCCTCCTTCCTCCTAGCTCTTAGACCATCCCAATACCTCCCTTCGTTTCCCTGGAAACCTCCTCCTTCTTTACCTTTCTGCTTTCCCCTCCCCCTCTTTGATGGAGGCAAGAGATGTTACATTATGTTCTAGCACCTCTCCCCTGGCTACTTAAGTCTTAAACCAACAGGGGCTTGGAGGGAGGGGAGGAGAGAATCTTTTGCAGTGAATGTTGTCAGCTCTAGAAAGATCTCTGACCATCGTTTCATCTCCGGAAGCTTTTATCTCTCGTGCTTACAACACCTGCCTTCAAAGACCTAAGAGCTCACAGGTACCCTGCTGCCCTGGACCTCACATGGGGCCCTGTTCTCTGATCTCTGCTTTACAGATGGGAAATCGAAGCCAACAGGAGCCTCTGCTTCCTGAGCAGGTCTCTCAAGGGCTCTACACAGCTCAGAACCACAAACATTGACTCCAGGCACTGAGTCCCAAAGAAGGACCAGAGACATTGAAGCCACAGCTTTGTGGTTCCGGGACAGACTCTGAAAATAATAAGGTCGTCCAAGTTGACTGGAGGCACGATGTTATGGCACACATGCCCTGCCCCCTGTTGCTAGAAGGGGGGAAAGGGCAGAAAAGGCACTGCTTTCTTTCAACTTCCTCCACAGTAATGTTTCTAGTCGCACTTAAGAGAGTATATCAAATTGCCATAGCGATGGAAATGAAAAAAAACACTATTGTATAATCCAACTGAACCGGATGCTAGACCATTAATAACGTCTCTTTCATAAACACTAACTTAGGAAATCCACAAAGACCACGCTGACATCAGAGCTCCCTTATTGCTAATAATGACTCTGTAACCAGACAAAAGCAAAAGCAGACAGCACCTAACTTCGGTGTCAAGCCTAGGTGCACGGCCCCTCCCTGGAGGGACCTTAGAGACTGACCTGTGGTCCAGTGGCCCCAGCCCTGAGACCAGTTGTACAGTACATGGAAGTTGGAGCCTGTGTCTGCTGTAAGTTGGACAAATCCTGAGGGCAGTGTCTACTGCAGAGGGCTTGCTGCAGTTGCAGCTATGGGGCTGACCTAAGGGATATGAGCTTGCACAAAGATGCTGTCCAGGCTTCATAGTCCCAGGGATTCCCATAAACAAATCAGACAGGTAAGTGAGTGTCACACGACTCCAGTCCAGTGCTGTGGACTGCAGCTACAGGGGAGGGAACTCTGGCTGATCTCTCCCTGCGGAATGGCTGGTGACATTCAGAAAACCACCATCACAAAACTCTGATGGTTATTTTATTCACAATTTTCGTGGCTTTCTGGAGGAGGCTGTGTTTGCTCCATGAATAATCACACAGAATGTGCTGCTGTGTTTCCCCCCAGATGTGTAATTAAATCATTCTTTCAAACATGTACTTCCTAGGCTTAAAAACAAAAGGCTAGTTATGTTGCATAGAATCAGCACTGGAGCATTCAAAGCAGTCTGTAATTCCCGAACATTTGATTTGTATGAATTTATAGCATCAAAATCAAAATAACCTGAATCAGATAATATGAGAATCTTGAAGAATACTGAGATTCTTTGAACTATATTTTGAAAATTTAAAAAAAATGAATTGAATTCCAGTCTATGGGCTTGTAAAAACTTAAAAAGGAAGGATTGCAATATAGACCCACACAAGTAGGTAGCCTTTCAGGTTCCCACCTCTGGATGAATTCCTACACAGAGCTGGCTGTACTTGCTACTGCCTAAGATGTCACTATAGGCCAGAAATCCGCACTCTCTGTAAAGGGAAAACCCACCCCAACATGTCTCTTAATGTACTTAATACAGCAGGTGCCAAAGAAATGCTGCTGACCCCCAATCATTCATTCTAAGTTTTATTCTGTTTTGCTTTGGGTTGTGTTGTTGTTGCTGCTGCTGCTGCTGTTTTGTTCGTAGTTGTTGTTGTTGTTGTTTTTTAAGTCACTCTATTTGAGCTAGGTACTGCTAGGCTCTGAAGATTCAGAAGGTAATAAACAGGAAAATCTCTGTCTTGGGTCTCTATTTTAATGTCTCCTAAACCAGGATACAGGAGGAGCAATGGGATCATAGATAACCGGCCACCTGCCTTCAGAGTCTGCCCTAGTAATGGCGGAGGGCAGATGGAGGAAATGGACCCTTGTAATATACCTTTCTGCTGCTTAATATCCTTCTGTGTCAGATCCTCTCTGCCTGCAGCTTATACTCAGGACTCACCCGGGCAGTTTCTCCCTCTACTCTTCCTTCTCCTCCTCCTTCTCTTCTTTCTCCTCCTCCTCTTCCTCTTTCTCCTCTTCCTCTTCCTCCCCCCCTCCTCCTCCTCCTCATCCTTGTCCTCCTTCTCTTCCTTGTCCTCGTCCTCTTTTTCCTCCTTCTTCAGAAAAATACCAAAATAGTGGATGATGCTGGTGCAGCAGGAGGGCCTGGAGGACCCAGGGCCTCACGAGTAGGATGCCATGGCACAGCAGTTTTAGGTGCCAGTCTTAGGTGCTGAGGTCCTGGTTGAGGCCACGGGGCTCATGGAGGTAAAGCTGAAGACAAAGAGTGGATCCCCGTCACCAAGCTGGGCTGCTTGCTTAAGGACATGAAGATCAAGTCCTTGGAGGACTTTTCTCCCTGCCCGTTAAGGAATCTGAGATCATTGAGTTTTCCCTGGGCGTATCCCTAAAGGATGATCTGAAGATAGTGCCAGTGAAGAAACAGACTCAAGCTGGCAAGTGGACCAGGTTCAAGGCTTTTGTTGCTATTGGGGACCACAACGGTCACGTTGGTCTTGGTGTTAAGTGTTCCAAGGAGGTAGCTACTGCCATCCGAGGGGCCATCATCTTGGCCAAATTTCCATCGTCCCTGTGCAGAGAAGCTACTGGGGGAACAAGATTGGCAAGCCCCACACTGTTCCATGCAAGGTGACAGGCCACTGTGGCTCTGTGTTGATGTGTCTCATCACTGCCCCCAGAGGCACTGGCACTGTCTCTGCTCCTGTGCCCAAGAAGCTACTGCTGATGATGGCTGGTATAGATGACTGCTACACTTCAGCCAGAGGCCACACTGCCACCCTGGGCAACTTTGCTAAAACCACCTTTGATGCCATCTCCAAGACCTACAGCTACCTGACCCCCTACCTCTGGAAAGAGACTGTAGTCACCAAGTCTCCTTATCAGGATGGTTCACTGATCATCTTGTGAAAACCCACACCAAAGTCTCTGTTCAGAGGATCCAGCTGTAGCTACCACATAACGAAGGATTTTTGTACAAGAAAAAGTGAATTGTGTCTGTTAAAAAAAAAAGCATTTCTGGATGTCAGGGATAAGATACTAGAAAGATCTCTAAGAGCCATGTAGAACCATTGTAGCAGAGAAGAGAAATGCATTCATGCTTTTTAAAAGACTGTCCTGTTAGTGATTTGAAACAGAGTAACGGAGGAGGACAGTATGAATGACAAGGAAGAGCTAACCTTGACTGAGGGAGCAGCCATCTTAGCGAGCACTGACTGTGGCTGTGAAATGGAAATCGGAGAAGGCAGATGTAAGAACTGATTAGCTGCAATGTTAGCAGCAGCTGCGAATGGGCTGCATCTGGCGTAGAGGAGAGAGGACAAAGGACCACTCCTAGTCCTCTGGCTTATAGAAATGATGGGATGTTCAGGAAATCATAAAGAAACCAGGATGCAACACTAGGAAGAGGATGGGCTGCATGGGTTTGCTTTTACCTAGGTAACTGGAACCCTGGGAACATTTAATTAGAGAGGTCTAGCAGGTAGCATGGTCTGGAGCTCAAAAGTGTGGGTTTGGGGGTCATTGGAGAGGAGATTGTCACTGGAGTGTGCCTGTGGTGGCCCATCAGGAGGAAAAGGGAATGAAGAGAGGTAACACCCAAGTAAAGGACTGAGGAGATAAAAATAAGCAACAAGACATAGAAAAGGAATCGCTACAAAGAGAGAGAGATCATGAAATCCAAAAGAAAAATGTATTTCAAGGAGGAAGTGCTCCTCTGCAGAGATGAGCAGTGAT